TCTGAAGTCAACAACTTGGAAATGTTATGTTTCTCAAGAATTATTAACCTGAAATGTGGAGACAGCAGCCAAAATAGAATTATTAAAATAATGTCATTACTTTTTTTGTTAAATTCTACAGTAGATATATTTAGCTCAGAACTTTTGTTAAGACCAATCAGGAGATATAGTTAAGGACTCCACAACTAGATCAGACTTATCCCCATAAAAAAACTTTCTAAAGATCGGGGACGAAAATAGTAGTCCTGCTGATTAGAGGAGGAATCAAGAGCCAAAAAATAATTATGATAGAATATCATTCACATAATTGGCACCAAAAAACATTTTGCCTTCTTCTATAAATGACTGACGTATGAAAATCTTGGTAATTTATCTATTATTTCTTCAGGCAATTTAGATTTAGACTTGGTGCACCAATTAATATGGGTCAGCCAATTAAGGACACTGAGTTCATTATTTATGATGTGAAGATAAATACAATCCTCCTCTTTGAAAATTCCCAAACAGTCCTTCATTTCTCTGATGGCAGTGTCCAACTTATCGACACCAAGGATTTGAAAGCTGCCAGTCTTATACAATGAACATAGTTTGTAGTGCATAAATATGGACAGCCAATAGATATCTGCTCCGTACCATTGGATCTGGATCTAACGGCGGCGTTCATGGATATCTGTTTGATTGTGCCTCTCTCTCCTTACGTGTCGTGTCAAAGACGACAGAAACAGTGTCTACTTGAAGAGCAGAATATAGTAGACGAGACTTAATCCTAATCTCCTTTTCCTCCGCCGTTTTGCTGTCTGAAGTATATCGACAACGCTCCCCCTAAACTAACGTCGTCGTGTAATAAATGTCTACTTGGGGTTTCCTTTTGCCTTCGACGAGCCTCCAATTTCTTCTCCAAATACACTAAGAAGTTTACTACATCAGTTATTCCTTGCTTGCCTTGCTCTATTGGCAGGACAGATTCTTTCAGAAGAATCTGTTTTAGAGCCATGCAAAAAAACAAATCTCTTGGGTAGTGTTACTTTGTTCCTTTGTATGTATTGACTTTTAGGATTTTTTGTTGATGCTGCCGTTGAGAAGAATGAGCTCTTTGAGGAAGGTATCGTTGTTCTCAAGAACTGGAGAGAAAGGTTACAAGGAACAAGTTCGGGCTGCTGCCAATGGCCATGCCCGATGTACATAATGAACATGGTGTGGGATGCGCTTGATGGATGGATGGATGGATCTCGTTGTGTTATTGTCGCCGATGAGATCGCCTGCTCCCTCCAGGACCAGCAATGTCGGCATACTATGAAGCCTCTGTGTAGTTCTCATCCTCCTCCTCCGCCCAAGCTTCCCGGTTTTTATAGTCCCATGACCTTCGTTAGTTTCAACGGTAGAAAAGCATATCATGTTTACCCACTTACAGGATTGAAGATTTTAGTGGAGATCAATACTCCGTAAACGGTTAGCAATTCAGCTGTTCCCTCGGTGATTCGGACCAACTGTGATCCTTTCCGGAGTACATCACAGTCTGACTTGGATGAGAGCGCAAAATCCAAGTATTAAAATCCTGTATAACTATATTTGAAACAAGTTCGATAAAGACTATATTATTCGGTCCAATATTGAATTTTTAAAAAAATTAATTAAAATTAGTGGCTAGTGGTCACAAGAATTGGAGGCACACTCATGAGAATCAAGATTGGAGATTTGAGATAGTTACTCAAGTTATCTATTCAAGAATGCTTGTTTAATTATGTGTTTGAATATAGATATCTCGAGGTCATTAATAATTCCTTCATCGATTCAAATATTTTTTTTAAATATTCTCTTTTACCGTATTGTCAAGTTGTGTTGCTGAGATATCGATAATTTATTATACTATATCATTTGTCACATATCATACTTCCATACACGAAGTAGTAGTGTTGGAGTAAGATGTAATCTTCAGGACTATCAATATACTATATAAAGAAAAAAGGCTTATAGTTAATGAAAATTTTTCTTGATTACCTAAGTAGCACTTTCGATTGATTTGGTTGCACTGGGTGAAAGATGGTGCTTTAAGTCAATTCAAATATATTGGCATTGAAAATACTTTAGATCGATTTAGCCACACTAATGTTGAAGATACCACTTTGGATTGATTTGATTATATTGATTTGTAAGATAGTATTTTATATCAATTTGACCGAATTGGCATCAAAGATAATAGTTTAGGCCAATTTGACTTTATTGATATTAAAGATTAATCTTTGGGCCAATTCGATCATGATGACATTGAATATAGCATCTGAAGCTGATTTAGTTGTTGTTGTCTAAAAGATAGAACTTTGGATTAATTCAATCCTATTGGTAATAAAGATAGCACTTTAAGTTGATCTATCATGTTAGCACCGAAGATAGTGCTTTGGGCTAATTTAATCATATTCCCATCGAAGATAATATTCTGGATTGATTTAGTCGCTAGAAGATTATTCAAAATATACAAAATTTTTATTCAGACATATGTAGGTACCTACATCAGTTATAAGTTATACAGCCGAATATCTCCTTAACTTTCTCTAATCTTACTATCTCATTTCGTTTCCCCAGCCTCGTGTCTCCTGCTTTGATGATGTTGTTGATGAGCCCAAAACAATGTTTAACCATAAGAGTAGAGAATCATTGTCTTGCACGCCATTGTCTTGAAACAAACATCAAACCTTAAAGGAAAGTGCAACTATGAAATGCTTCTACACCACCAGGAATTAAACAAGGATGACAGAGTTTATTATACTTCATTATATGAAATAAGCATATTTAGTTCCCTACTAAAGGAAGGAGGAAGCTCTTGTAATCCCCACAAGTCTCTTTACCCACAGCATATTCGAGAGTGACAACAGTTTTGGGGTGACACACTGCATCGGACTGCCATTCGTAGTGGCGATGCAAATTCATTGGGAGACTCAGTAGTCAAAGTGTCGTCGCCTTTGTAATGGGAATGTCGTATTCGTCTTTGTAACAGTCCAAGATAGCGCAAAGTAGGGCCTTGCTTCTGGTACTCAGGATTCGAATGAGCTCACCGTGGCTGAAGTTCTGTGACTTGATAGCCATTCATTATATAGATGACATCTATATAATGGCTTGCATAGCATTTTGGCTTCCAAACGAGCAACACCTATGTCAGATCTCATCACCATCTTATCTGTACGTGCTCACCAGTGAAACCAAAAGCTGCAATGCAAGCCATTATATAGATGACATATCACCACTATGTATAAATGCCATAATTCTGAAGTGCCTGCCATACCTGTCTAAATTCTCCAACTGTGAGGGCTGCAACATCTCCTTCCTTCCAGGGAACGTTTATAACGAGCATGGTATTCCTCCTTCACCACCAGCAGCTCTTTCGGGGAACTGACGCATGCAATTTCTATGATCGCTTGGTAGTCGATATTCTTTTTCACGGCGATGTTAGTGATGATAGTCTCTCTTTGAACCGAGTCCAATATCCAGCGGTAGACGACTCTCTACAAGAGGAAGGAATACATGTAAGCAAGCTGCAACAAATGGCTGCACCATATCGACGAGGATGCAGTAGATAAAATTATGGACCTCAAAAGCCACTTTCTAAGATTCTCCTTGTATTGTTCCTCAAAACCCAATCTTATTTGCTTCCGTTTGAATAGCATCTCTGTGTACTAGTAGTATATTGATGATTACTTCTCCATCCTAACACAAGTGTTGTTCGGTGCTTTCGGGTTCATTATGAATCTTGGGTTTTGCTGTGTCGTCAATAAGGTGAAGCCAATTCTTAACGAGTAACAACAACAACAGAGAAGAAAAATATTGACAATTTTGTTTCAAAAGTTTAAGAATCCTACTTGTTTCAAAGTGGCATGGCGAAAGGACAAGGAGGCAAGAAGTGCTACAGATATAGAATCTGTCAAAAAAATTGCCATTATCATGAGTGAAGCCATTTGATTCTTTGTTAAAAATAACAAGAAAAAAAAGAAGAAGAAGAAAGCATGTATCAAAGACTCAAAACAAAAATTTAAGATGAGTGCTTAGCCTCTTGGATGAGTGATGATACAACCCAATGTCCTACCCATCTAATGTTTTCTCCAAATTCCTTTATCACCTAAGCTTTTCCTACTCATCTAATTAAATCTGATTTTTTTTAAAAAAATTGTTAGAAGTTTAAAAATTTATAGTGTTAGGTATTTTTTTTTTTTAAAAAAAGATATTTTCCTACTTGTTGCCCAAAATGTTACCCTACATTGAAATAACAAGATAAATACATAAATATTTCCATTTCAGGAGCATTGTGCAAATATCAAATAAAAAATAAAAATAAAGAAAAAAGTGTATTAAGCTGAAGCTTGATTTAGGTCTGTTCGATCGCTTAAATGTAGATTTATTCTAAGGCTGATCCCAGATCAATTAATAGCAAATTGATTGTGATATTAGACTAAAACAAACTTGTTTACACTTGAATTATTTAGATTGATTACAAGTCCCAAGTAACCGCATAGCATGCGTTCCATCAAATCAGCTTCTGTTCGCAAATCTAAAGTGATTCACAAAGCATCACGACTCCACGTATCTTTTGGGTTCCAAGTCACAGTGACCCAGTCAAACATTGTGGATCACATGAAATCGCTTTTGCCCAAGTTAGCTGATTTAAAAAGACTTGGCCAGACATTACAAATTGACCACAGGTCAATTTAAAATTCATTCGACTCGAATATTTATGTATCCCATCACATCATCTTTTACCAAGATTTGCCAAACATTATGCTTAATGGGTTTGGACCCGATAAAACGAACCCGGTCACAATCTCGCCATCAATTTTAGCTCAAACCGTAATGTCATTTCTGCTGCTAACTCAAATTAAATAGATCAAATTTCAACTCGAGTTCAGATAAATTTATTGCGTACACGAGAGGTATATGTAAATACGGCACGTTTTCGGAGGATATTCAAGTAAAGTCACAAAGGTTTTTTTTTTTTAATTTTATATATATGGAAAAGCATGGATTTATCAGCTCCGGCGACAAATCCTTAAAACAGGTTACGATTTCTCGTTCTTCCATTTGTCCGAATACCTCCGCTTCCGCTCTCGGTCTCTCTCCTCTCTCTCTCCCTGCCTTCTCTTTTCTGTGGCTCGGCTTTTTTCTTCATGGTGGAAGCAATAGAGGTAGTCGATCGAGGCTTCCCAGGGCTTTCATTCAGGATCTAGGATCTGCAATTGGAGGACGGGGCGTCTTGATGAACGATTCCAAGGCGATGGATCTGGAGAAGACGGAGTTCTCGTCGGACGGAAAGGGAGCAGCGGCGGCCCCCGCCTGCTCGATTTGCCTCGAGCTGGTACTGGATCAGGGGAGGAGATCCACCGCTAAGCTCCAATGCGGGCATGAGTTCCATCTAGGTGACGAATTTCTTTACCCTTTCCTACGTGATGATCTTTCTTAGCTGATCCTGTACCCGTTCTAGCCTTCCTCTTTTCTGGTTTGAATTTTAATTTTAAGCTACATGCTTGCACTTCCTGCTGTCAAAATCGGGTTTTTGGTCCCGATTCATCTTTCTCTACCTAGATCTGTTGCTGCTGTATGTTCTTTCTGGAACTCGTAATTTGTTGCTCTCATGAATGGTCGATGTTACAGTTGGATCGATGTTAAGCACTCTGTCCTTGAGCAAAAGATTCGACATTTATGATAATTTGACATGGTATTAAAATTCCGTTATCTGGACTAAACGATCAATTAGCTGATCTGGAATAGATAAGCCTTGAAGCTCGAGTTGTTTATGTTCATCTGGTCAGCCATTTGATCTATGTTTTAGGTGAGCGATTTTCTGACAGGAATTTGAAATCTTGTCAAATGATTGTGCTTCCAGATACAGATAGCAGTCATGACGAACCTTTCATTCTGGTTTTAGTCCCTAGTGTGGGAAAGAGAGATCCGAACTTAATGAGTTAAAATAAGTTCTTTCAATTTATACTTATTTTTCTACTGAAATAGAAATTTGACATTAATTGTTTTCTATCATGTAGAATGGTGTGTATAAAGGTGGAATTTCTTTTCCTTGAAGAAGTTGAACTTGATATTAATGCTACAAGGTGGTTTTAGGCTAACTTTGGTCCATGTATTCTGTTGCTAAGGACATTCTTTTACATGCAGTTGTGCCTGGTAATTGATTTAACCTATGTAACTAAAGAACTGTTATAAGCAGAAGGGTGGCTCCAATTCCATTTTGTTATTCGGCTATAAAATTTAGGTATTAACATATATGAAGGTAAATTTTGATCTTAAGAAATGTTCTGTTATTTATAGTTGAATGTGATGCTAATTCTTGCTCAATGATAATTTGGTCCATTAGATTTGCAGCTTGCTACATCATGGACCTGTAGTAGTATTGATGAAAGACTAAATATTTGGCAGGGACTTTATGGCTTCTTCTTATTGTTGTATATATGACTAAATATTGTCACTGACACTTCATGAATAAGTTGTTTCCTTAGAAAAGTTTTCTTTTAACTGATAAAAGAACAAAATTTCCTATACAGAATTAAATCTTCATTCTTAAACTTATTTTATGTGATTTATCAATGTAGGGTTAATGTACAAGGTGTGGCAACAATTTTTCTTCTATCATTGATTCTTGAGTGTTCAATAGCTATTTGTATCATTGAGTTAGAAACAAGGTTTGCAATACCGAATGATACCGCCCGTACTGGTCCGTCAGCAGACCGGTACATAGACAGCCCACCATCGAGCAGTACCGTCGATTGAGGCGTTATCGTCGACGGTGATCGAGGGAGAAGAAAGAAGAGGGAGAAGGGGAAGAAAGAAATAGGAAAAAAAAGGGAGAACCCGTAGATTGTTGCACTCCTCCTCGTCTGTTGGCGACTTCTCATCTGCGCACGGGAGAGGAGGCATCCGCGTCGCAGGGCGGAGAGAGGCGAAGATGTTTTTTTTTTCTTCTCTTCTCGAGCGAAATTGCAATTTTTTTTTAATCTGCGATGTTGCCCGAGACGTAACTTTTTTTTTATCCATGACGTCGCCTCGGTGACGTCGCCCGAGAAGAGAGGCGATGTTGCCGAGGTGACGTTGCCCCGCATAGAGGTAAACTGAGCCGTTTACCTATATATATATATATATAATTTATAATTATATATATATATATACCGAGCGGTTATCGAAATATACCGCTCGGTATATAGTACCGTATCGTACCGTACCGAATAAGTTTCGAAATTTTGGTACGGTACGAAATTTCAATCCTTGGTTAGAAAGACTGAGATTGAGAATGAATATAACTAATTAGAGACCTGAAAATGGCAGTATATAATTGCTGAGAGAAATAATTGATTGTTTTCTTATCTCTGATCCTGGAGAAACTAAAAAATAACATGATAGTTTACTAATATTGCTAGGACATTGTATTATATTTTCTCCTTTATGGAGAAGATAGTATATTTTCTGATTGCAGAACTTGAGTGTGATTTTATGCTCTTATTTCACCGAAATTGGGTAACTGATGCCTCATTTGCCTGTTATTCTCAAGGGAATGTCGCTTTCTTCGTGATGCACATGTGAAAATACTAAAATGTGCTATTTTGTGTAATATTACTTTTGAAATTAGAAGGACAATGAAATAGAGTGAGGGCCTTTCTCAGGAAGATATGAGAAAAAATAAAGGTGAGTGGGCATAGTTGGGAGTATAGTTTAGTTTCTAGCAAAAGAAGCAATGCACTAGTGACCTTAATATTGTATATTTGCATAACATATGTAGTAGCAAAATGTACTATCATTTAAGAAATAAATTTTATATCTTCGGCAACCCATCGATTGAGTTTATTTGGGTAGTAAATTTTGCTCTGTGAATATGTTGTGCATTGAAACTTGATAAAGGAACCCGATGCCTATGAAAAAGGTCCATTTTATTTATAAGAAAAATAAATAAATAGTAAAAGGAAATTTTATGGGATAGAGTGCTTTTGGAAATTTAATAATATCTTTTTTAAAGGACAAAGCAAATATAGATGTGTTATAGGTTTTGCATAAATATGGTGTACATATGTTCTTAGATGAATGGAGACTGACCAATCGAGAGTTGAATGAACAAGGATTGACATAGATGGACTCAAGTTTGGAGTTGAAATTATACATCTTTGTGTTAAGAAGTGAGTGGCTGGACCTGAACTACTCCTGATGGGCGCACCTTCTATATCAGATTAATTTTCTACTTTTCCGCTTTCTTAAGATATTTATTATCTATAATTTAAGTTGTTATGCTTAATAAGTTTAGTCAGATTTTGGATTTTATTTTCATCCAGCATTCTATTTTTGTTTTAGATAGGGCTAAGAGAGCTCTTAAGCCACAGAGGTTGATGTTTAGAGAGTTCCAAACATGTAATAAATAGGATATTGTGGGATTCCGATATATCCAAAATTTAGAACTATCCCATAAGTAATTCTGTTTTACCATATATTTGATGTGTCTTGAACATAGAGACCTAGACTTAGTATTGGCTTTTTCATTTAATAGGTTTATCATAGTTTGTATCTCTCTCTCTCTCTGTATCTATTCTCTCTTTTGTCTTTGGCAGACCAAGTTTCCTCCTCAAATCGGAGAATACATTTATAAGAGGGTCATATCCTGTACATTATCAACCGTATAAAATGAGGTAAATATAAATTAATATTAATGGTATTACTATATCAGTCATAGACGCCATATATGACAATATAGATAAGACAAAGCTTTCCGTATGAGCACAAATTGTATGTGATAGCCATTGGTTACTTCCCATATGTGTTTGGGATACTTCAGAATATTTCATGGTTGCATTTGAACAAGGTTTGCCAAATCGGGTACCAGACCCAACTCGGAGATTTGTCGGGCCGGTATGTATTGGTTTGTACCGGTGTACTGACATGTGGTACATCGGTAAGTATCGGTGTTTCGGAGAGGAAGAAAAAAGGGAGAAGAGGAAGGGATAGTGGAGGAAGGAGGAAGAAAGAGGGAAGAAGAGGAAGTGACGTTGGAGGAAGAAGGAAGAAGGAAGAAGGAAGAGGGAGAGGAAGAGAAAGAGGAGAAGAGACTCACCTAGGATGTAGTGGTGTGCCACAAGGTCGCAGCAAGCGGAGGTTGCCGTAGCCGCTTGCGCTTGCGTGAAAACCATCGATCACAGCTTCGGTCGTGTGGCGGTGTGCAGCATCGATCAGGGCAAGTGGGGGTCATGGCGGTGAGAAATCACAAGCTTGCAGCGATTGCATGAGAAGCGGAGGCGGCTCTCATGTGAGAAGCAGTGGTGATGCTCGCGTGAGAAGTGGGAGTTAGGGTTTCCCACTTCCCTTTTATATGTTGGACCGGACCAGGGTGGGTCCGTGTATTGGTCAGTGCTTGGACCGATACGTGCCGCCCGTTTCATGCCTGTCTGGGGAAAATGACGATCGTTGCTTTTGAAAACCATTGGTTTTCTTAATTGTTTATCATATGATAGTAGATGAGATGGGTATATATGTTTTTTGAATGATGTTTGTGATAAAATCAAATTATGTTTAACAAAATTAGAATAATGATCTCATGTTACTTCTTTCTAAATACGTTCTTGTTCCCATTTAATTGTTAGAGCATTACTATCAGGAGTGCCTTTCATGGTGAAAAATTATGGATATTTATTAGTTACTGGTTATGTACAATGATCTATAACTATCTAAATATGCTGGCAATCCAAATAAATGTCAAGTTTTGTCATAACAAACTTGTGAATAAATTATGAATATTTATTAGTTACTGGTTGTGTACAATGATCTATAATTTCATATGCTGACAATCCAAATAAATGTCAAGTTTTGTGATTACAAACTTTTATATATTTGTCCTTTTAATTTTATATCCATTTCACATCTTGTTTATTTTATTCAGGATTTGACATATTGGCATTTGCATGCTTCAATTTTCTGAAAATTGCTTTTATCTGGAAAATAATTATTTTGCTTGTTCTTTCTCTAGGATAGTTTATAGATGATTTCACTGCTCCTTAGATGATTTCAGTGCTTCTTTATTTTCCTCAGAGGTCAACCACTCAATTGGCAAGAGTATCTTAGAACAAGAAGGGAGGACTCCTATCTATGTGACTATGATAAATTATAAGATTGGAGTTGTAATAGTACAACATTAAGTTTTGTTTGGTTTGTATCATGCATTCCTAATTTAGGGTTTACAATGGGTGGAATGATGGATCAAAGTTCCATTCCGACAGCCATTATCATGTCCCAATCATGTAGAAATTAACTCATCCCCATCCCCATATATTGACAGTACAAGGTACCTATACTTGACCATTGCCACATGGGACAGAGTACATCGGCCCTACCTTGTTATGCCTTGCTCAACATTGGAAACAGTTGAATGGTCTAGGTGTGTGTGTGAGAGAGTGAGAGAGAGAGAGAGAGAGAGAGAGAGAGAGAGAGAGAGAGAGCGCAAGGACAGAGACAGAGAGGTAAAGTGAGGATGGTGTCACCTGTAGATGGAGGCAGAGACTGGAAGGGAGGGTGACTAAGAGAGAGGGGGACAAAGGTAGGGTGATAACATATGTATATAAAGAGGGCCAGAGATAAAATACACCTGTGCCACTCTCTTTTACATATTGGGTGGCTTGTGTCTCTTTTGTTTCTGATAAAAGCTTGTATCAGTTTGGTTAGAACATATTATCCAAAATTATGTTCATTCATGTAATTGCATCTAGGAAGCATTGTGACCCATGACACACACACAAATGTTTGGAAATTGGAGTCACACACAAAAGCATGGGACTAATGTCATGTTTTTTAGTTATATTAACCAGGTTTATGAATGAGTGTGAGCTTGATGGTAGTGTAACATCACTTAGTTGTCAAGGATGAGTCAGGCTTATTTGCTCATAGTCATGAGACTACATTCATATGAATTCTATTTTGTTGGATTTCTATGCTCTGGTCATCATTATTGACAAGGTTTATGAATATAAGAGATGAGCAAGAAAATTTTGGATCTTTAGTAAAATCCGTCGCTATGACATATGATGTTCTTCTGTACATCAACTGAAATTAGCTTTTTTGAGAGTGAATAAATTTGTAGCATGTTGCACACTCCTACCCTCTCCATTCACAAGAAGACTGATGTCAGGTAAGACCATTTTTAGTTTTTTTTTGCTATCTATTACTAATGGAGAATTGGACTAGTTGTAACCTCTTCTCAATGTAATTCTAGTACTCTTGAAACTTTTTATTTTAAAGAGAGAATATAATCTGTCTTGTGAATAAAGTAAAAGAACAGAAAGACTAAAGGAGTTGAGTTGAGAAATGTGATGCTAATGTTTGATAATTTTACTCATAAGTTTGGATACTAATCATTTAATGTGATATGTAGTGTATCAGAACTTGTTCTGAGATTAGTACAAGAATGGCATGATAGATCATGGAACTTTGCTTCTTTGTCTGTCAGCTACTTGTGCCAGCTCATTGATAAACTTTGTTGATCCAATGTCATCATAATTAAATCTCTAGATTTCAAGAAAATTATTGAGAGGTTCTTGTGAGATCTAGTTTAATCTAAGTTGGGTTTGGTTGATATGAGTTGTAACATAACTTGTTAGAAATTTAAAAAAGAAAAGAAAACAATAGTTAAGCTCAAGGATTTAAATACCAGTTTAGTACTGGTTTCGATAGGCTATTGAACCTGTATGATGCTGGTATACCATGTATACCACTCATTATCACTAAAAAAAATAAAAAAACTGAATACCAGATAGTACCCAAATATACAACTGTTACTGGTTCTTGATTGGACCAATAAATACTGGGTAGTATGTACCGGTCCGACTGTCATTTTAAACCATTTAATCTTTACCACTTTTTACTTCTTATGATGATGTCAGTGGAACTAACTCGTATTATTTTTCAGACTGTCAGTTCACTATTTAAATGTTATTGAATATTTATTTCTTATTCAGATTGTATTGGATCTGCATTTAATGCAAAAGGAGCAATGCAATGTCCAAATTGTCGCAAAGTTGAGAAAGGCCGGTGGCTTTATGCAAATGGCAACCGTTCGTCTGCTGATTTTGATATTGATGGATGGGTGACTGAGGACATATACGATCTTGGTTACTCTGAGCTGGTATGTTTTATTTGGACTAGTAATCTTCTTGGGAAGGTTGATCATAACTCTTTCTTGGACTATTTCATGACATGGAGGAAGATCAACTCTGTTGTCATGAATTGATGTTGAAAATTTGGATATTTGTATGAATCCTTAAATTGAAGAATAACTCTGCAGCTCTTACATACATGACCTGATGGTAATGACATGTTTAAGCTGCATATCAATGTAGCATCCCAGAAATTTTTTTATGTATACCTTTTCATTTGGTTTGCATATCCATGTTTTTCTGTGGTGGAAAAGCTGATAGATAAGCTACTTAAATGGTCCTTTTTTATTAAGATTGCTCCTTTGTATCCAGGCAAAATAATATTTTCCTTTGTAGAAATCATTTTTAGCTGTTGCAACCTTTTATGTTTTAACTTTTTTTCTTAAATATCATGTGTTCTTAAATGGTATTGTTTATCATCAGGGATATAAAAGATTTTACAATACCCTTATTCTGTTAAAGTGTAGAGTATCATACTCTATTCTTTGTTCTCTCCTTTAAAACTGATCTGTGTGTGTATATATATATGTATATATATATATATATGTATATATATATATATATGTATATATATATATATATGTATATATATATATATATGTATATATATATATATATATATATATATATATATATATATA